GTTCACAAGCCGTGCCGGTCCTTCAAAGCCGCAAGCCGTGACATGAGAGTCTCGATCTCCTCGCGGACTTCCTGAGGCACCTCCTGGTCCATGGGCTTCTTCTCCCCCGCCTGTGATCCCGATGCCGTGCTTCGCTTCTTGGGAGTTGGGGTGCGCTGCTGAGCATGTGTCTCGGCCTCCTTCGCCGGGTAACCCACCCTGGTGTTCATCTGAAGCGCCGTCTCCGTTAGCTCTGACCAGTGAGTCTCCCAGCATGAGCTCGCTGAGCTCTCGACCGGAAGGGGAACTCGAGGGTTGATCTCCGGATTGTAGCTCTCTACCTCCTCTGGGCGAAGCTTTGCCTTCGCATAGTTCGCCAAGCTCACCAGATCTGGTCCCGAGGATTCCACACCGCGCTCGCGGACTTCCAGCATCGCCCATTCCAGGTACTGAGTCGGCACCTCCTTGTAGAGTTTGTTCTTGTGGCGACCGAAAGTCACGATGGCCTCTGCCTTCTCGCGGGTCGAAGCATCTCGGATCAACAGCTGCAGCTGCCCCTTGGTGGCTCTCGGCGGGATCGGAATCTGGAGCTCTGACGCTTGGGTCTTCAACTGCTCGAGAGTCATCGAAGCTAACCCTTTTGGGACACTCGACTCCTGCTCGGATGTCCTCCGGTGGTCGCTGATGATCTGTCGAATCTCGCCCACCGACCACGAGGTGTGCACCGTCAGGTTCAGCCGCACCGCCTCCGACAACAACTGTGTCTTGTTCATGCGCCAAATGTTGGCGGGTGGTTCGGAGGTGGCCATCTGGAAGAAGGGGCGCGCTCACGATCGGAGGAGGGCCGTAGAGGGGAGCCCTAGCGACAGCTCGAGAGAACACTGTGCGACCGACCCAGAGCACAGGCTGTTGCGCATCACGCTGGTCTTGCCAAAGATCATGAATAGCATCTAGACCCGCAAGTGTACTACACGAAATCCCATGCGAGCTGCGTACCAGACCAACGCTGCCGAGCAACTTGTCCTTGACTTCAGTCTGAGAAGTCTCCCATCTGGAGGGGTCGAACAAACCACGCCTGGGCACAACATGGATTCGAATGAACGAATCGGCACACTCAATCCAGAAATCTTTCGAGATGGGCGTCTTAGACCACCAGGCTGCGAAATGTTGAAGATTGAAAGATTCTGCACTGAGGAGGTTCCGCACGCATGCGTTGATCTTCGTCGGGTAAAAGATGTTTTGTCCTGGAGGGTGGTCGGCGCTTGGGGTCTTGTTCTCCTTGGGATCTAGTGGTGCGCTGCTGGCATGAACATCCCTAGCATCAGAAGTGCTGGTCATGAAAGCAACATATTGCGACGTAGCAGAAGGGACGATAATCACCTCAGAGTTCGCCCACTCTTGGGGCGAAGGCCACCTCATTCCCGGCACACGTTTCGGCGTCACTGGGATGGCCGGATGACCACTGTCTGTGGTCATCAAACTGAATCTCTCGATTCCTAGGTGCTTGAACTGTGCTGAATGCCCTTCAAGGTCGTACACCATTCCAAGCTTGCTCAAAGCGCCCCGGCTCATGAGGAGAGGAACTTCACCCTGTACGACAGAGGCCCTCAGCATGAACACCCGGTCTCGGATCTGGATCACAATGGTAGCCGAGAAGTTAGCATGGAATAACCTGGAGGCCCCGAAGCGGAAATCATCATGGCAATCCAGAAACTGAGTGTCCACACCAGTGTCCTTTGCAAGCCTCAAGTAGGACTCCAACCACTTTTGACCCATAACAGATTTGCTGCAAGCTGTATCCGTAATTGCCAAAAGTCGATCCCCACCGAGATCGCCCACCATGTAGGCGACCTCGACGATGCCAGCAGGAGGTCCTGGGGAGGCAGTTGTGGCGTGGATCTGATGGTCCTGGGTCGTCCTGGGCTTAGGGGCGGAGTTACCAGCTCGATTGAGTGGGCATTCAGCATCTTTATGCCAGTGCCCGCGACGGCCACATCCTGCACAATAAGATCGGAGCTTAGCCTGCGCCAAAGACTCATCTGAAGACGGCTTGGTCGGCTCCTCGGTGCCCTTCTTACCGTTCTTGAGTGTTTCGGGGTCAACTCCACGGGCTTTGATGACATCACGATATCGTGCTTTGGCGGATTCTTGGGCGACGAAAGCCTCGTGGATTTCTACCGCTGTTTCCTCATCGAGATAAGGGCCTTGTTCGTCACCACCATTTACATCATCGAGACCATGTTGAGGTTCGTCACTGTCGATTCCAGCCAGGAAGGCACTCTTAGCACCCTTACCATCCCCCTTGTTCCTAGGAACCCATGGACCACGTAGTGACTTCTCATGGAGGATAGCAGCTTTCTGGAGCTTTGCTGTGCTGTAGTCGTTACCGACTGAAGCCAGTAACGAAAGTTCCTCTGAACTGCTCAATCCCAAAGCATTGAGATAAGCCCAAGCACGAGCAACTTCAGGAAGTCGGCAATCAATTTCGAGAAGTCGAGAATGCCCTCTATCGAACACCGAATTGAATTCTCGAATCGATTGACCAGCCTGCCTCTTCATCTTCTTGAAGAAGAGCGTCAATGCTTCTGCTATACGGCTCACCTCGACCTCTTGATATCTCTCACGAATCCAGGAGGTGAAGACTTTAAGGCCTTGAGGACTTGCAAGATCTTCAACATTAAGTTCTTCTGATTCTACCCACGCCCTGTCACTCAGGTTCTGGTAGAGGAGCAAAGCCTGTTGCGTAGGATCCGTTCTTGTAACCTTGCTCCAAGCTTCAACCTGCCGAAGATACGAACGCGCTGACATCCCCAGCTCATCCCCTGTACCCTTTGCTCCAAACGAAGGTACCGCCATCTTCTCGCTGAAGGACCCCTTATAACCTGCAGTACCAGAAGCATCTGAAAGGGAGGTGGCATGCTCATCGCGCCCTCGTCCTGACGGCGCGCGCGTGGCCTCGGAGCTTCCAAGGGTTGCCGACGAAGAGCGTCGTTGTTCCTGGGAGGCTTCGTCTGGGAGTGTAGCATCACTGGTACCCTGTTCCTCGGAAGTGTCGTTAGACCTCTGTTCTTCATCACTTTCCCG